GTTAATATAATTAAGAAATTAAATATAGCAGCAATAGTTGATATAGTTGATATATCTGATATAATTTTTTGTAACTAGTATATATATAAAGTAAGAGAAAAATGTCTGAATAAATGAATTATAATTGATAATTATCTAATTGTTTAACAACTATTTGTTCCAACTACTATGCAAATGTGTATCATTTGAAGGTAAAACTGTGACCATAAAGGAATTTGGAAGAGTTTCAAAGTAGTTATCAGTATGAATGCCTATTGCTACAACAGGAACTTTGATATAGTTTGAGTAGACGAATGTACATGCTAACAAATGGAATTGAGTTTATTTTTTATAGAAAGAGAAGGATACTCGGACCAAATTATTATGCCTCAGCCTTATAAAACTAAATATTAGAGAGGACTTGAAAAACCCCTCACACTAGTTTTTTTTTCTCTTCTTATTTTGGAAGTATTTCCAGGTATTCTTTTTCAAATGGGATCAACCACATTTCCGCTAGGAGTTGTGTATCCTTTTCTTTCTTAAAAGTCACTATTGCTGTTTGCCACAGTTCCACTGTTCGGATATCTATATTGTAAATATCTCCAAACTTCCTTAGTGTTGCCTTGATTACCTCCTCGCTTACTAAAAGGGGAATGTCTCTAACTATTACTGTATTTTTCTCTTCTAATTGGTGCTCTCTTTGTTCCACCAGAATTAGATGTTCTCTATTTTTGTTTGTGCCAAAGTTGATGTCACATGCCTGCTGCATATCAATGAGATTTCCAAAAATAGCAATGATTGCTTTCTTTTTTTCCACCATTTCTTTTTCCACTCTCACCCTCAAGAAAGAGTTGAAGGCTATACATGCTTCTTCTACCATCTCAAGCATTTCTATTAATTCTGTGCCTGCTGCAAGCTCCAATTCATATGTATGTCTTGGTTTTCTTTCCACTTCTCTTTGTTTGCCCATCTCCTTTTGCTCCTTTACTTTCTCTTCATATATACCCATTTCTCCTGCTCTAATATCTGGTCCTATGATTTTGCCACTTCCTTCTTCTGTTCCTGACCCTTTCTTTATGATTTTTATTTTTTGTTCTTCTCTTGTCTCTTGTATTTCTTTTTCTTCTACCTCTTCTTCTTCCTCTTCAGTTTCTTTGTTTTTCCCTTTTCCTATATCCATACTTGATGTCCATACTAATGTTTTTTTCTTTTTTTCTTTGTTCAAACTTTTTAGTCTGTCTGGTTCTCTCTTGGTAATGGCAGTTGCCATCACTTTTGCTTCTCTAGTAGCATTTATTGTTTTTCTTTCTATACCTCTTTCTCTTTCCACACTTAATGTTGTTGCTTGACTGACTTCTATTTTTTCTTTCACTTTCTTGTCGCTTTTCAAGACTTTTCTAAAAAGGCAATTTTTTTAGTGTGGAAAAAAGTTTTTTATCAATAATTTATTATTAATTAAGAAAAACTTTATTAATATAAGAGTGGAGCAAACAATTCTAAAGATAATTAAAGGAAAAATACAACCTTTAAATACATGTTTTTTCAATATAAATAAATATAATAAAAATATATAAAGAATAATATACATATAATCTTAGTGGTTTTTCTAGAAGATCATATACATAATTAATAAAATAATAAAGAAAAATAAATAAAATAATATAATAAATAAAATATAATGTTAAACAAATATATTAATAATATCCTGTTACTTTTTTATATCAAACAGTAATTAATAACACATATTAATTGGTAATTTCTATATTTATCATATTAGAATTAATAATTACTATAGTTCGAGTTTCACATTACTTCAGAGCTTTGGAATCAGCAGATGTCATGTGACTCCATATATGTGTTTTAGTCTAATCATTAGTATTATTTGGCCAGAGGTCATAATCCTTGATTATTGAAAAATTGATGTTAACATGTTTTTTTGGCCAATATTAAAAGATATTTCTCTTATCCAAATATCCATAGTCTCTTAAGAGTATTTGAAAGGTTGTCACCTAACTTTGAGAAAAAAATTAGGATTTTAGTCAGATATCTATAGATTTGTTACATTCTCTTCTTCTTAAAAACATCATTGTCCTTAATGATAATTATACTATTGTGTCTTTCTTGTAAAGATAGGTCTCTAAATTAAAGGCAGGGACATAATTCAAATATCTCTCATTATTAAAAAAGTTTTTTTTTTAAATATAAAATCAAAAAAAACTACCTACAAAGGTTTTTTATAATTTAGACCACTGTGAAAGAGAAATTGCATGGTCATATGAGTGTATGCAATGACGATCCCAAAAAAGACAAATCTGAGAAAAATGAGATATCTGTAATATATTTCTTTTCTTTGATTTCTTTGATTTATTTCAGATAATTGAGAAATTAGATATATTAGATATATTAGCAATAGTTTAGATAGTTGATATATTTGATATATCTGATATAATTTTTGTAATTAGCATGTATATAAAGCAAAAAAAAATGTCTGAATAAACTTAACATCTATTTGTTTAAAAATCTAATTGCTAAACATCTAATTGATCAAATAAACTACTATGTAAATGTGTGACATTTGAAGGTGAAACTGTAACCATAAAGGACTTTGGAAGAGTTTCAAAGTAGTTGTTAGTGTAAATGCCCATTGCTACAATAGGAACTTAGGTATAGTTTGAGTAGACGAATGTGTATACTAATGGATGAAATTGAGTTTATTTTTTAGTAAAAGAGAAGGATACTCAGATCAAATTATTACGTCTCAACCTTAAAAACTTAAGTATTAGAGAGGACTTCGACAAACCCTCACATCACTTTATTCAAATATTTTTTAAATTATGTCCCTATTAAAATAATGAATAAATAATTATGTCCCTGCAAAAGAAACATAATTGATCTGCAAAATTTTATATGTTAAATAATTTAGGGACTTATTTTTATCCTCTTGTATATACCTTTACTCTATAGTTTGAAATATTAATATCCAAGAATGATTGTAAAAATCTTGTGATGATGATTGTATTGTAATCAAGTTTCTAATTTGGTTATCAGTTTCTTAAAATTTACTGATACACCTAGCATATACAAGTCTTATATTAACAAACTTAACATTTGTATATGTTTACAGTTATCTCATTATGTTTATGGTATTGCTATTTACAGATTCTATTCAAGATATAAGGTTAGCTATTCCTTATAGACTCAAGTTTCTCTATAATGAAATAAGATTTTGATTGTTCCAGATCCAATCTTAATCCTAAATCCTATGATTTATAATGAAAGATAACTTCAATGTATATGGTATTTTGACTGTGTGATTATTATTTTTTTCTATTGATCATTTTACTTGTTAAGACTGAGATATAGAGTATATACTATATATGGTATAAATTATTTTGCTATTAACTCAATTGTCAAAATTCTTAAAAATAATTGCATCTGACTTAATTATTTTATATATTTTAATAATAACTCAATTAATTGTATCAAATAATTGTATCAAATTGTATCAAGAATCTACCAATTTCTATCACATATATAATATAGAGGTAAGACTTCATCTATAGATTTGGATTCTAATAATGATAGTAATGATAATAGTGATAGTAATATATCTCTATTTCCCAATTATATAGTAATTTGTCTTGTAAGTCTTGTTTTAAAACAGTTTGCTTAATTGATGATAGTGTTCTATTTTCTAATGTTATTTTATTTTGATTAGCAGTCTGATATATTGTTATAATGGTGATATATATATATATATATATATTTATACCTAATTAGGCCATATGTTAAGTTTATTTATATTCAAGCTCTCGTGGAATTGAATGAACCCTAGTATAAAATATTCAAAATACATAAAATGTCGATCATATCTATACTAATGGTTAAACTTATTTACTTATACAATATACCTGTTAACAGCTACTGGCCTCTAGATATGATTAAGGGGAATAAAAAAATTGCTTAATTAAAAAAAAACATTTCTTGTTATTCTAAAATCTCAAAGCCAGCCCTTTATTAAGACTGTTACCCCAACTTAACCTCTATGGTCCTAAGATATAAAAATTTTTATTTTTTTGAAAAAGTAAAAGGAAAAAATAAAAGAAAAAAGTTTGTGCTAGTAAAATAAAAACCCTATCAAAACCAATTATTAGCCTAATGAGAGCCTTCTTTAACCTTGAGGAGAAAAGAAATCAGCATAAGAGGAAAGGGGAAGACTTTCAAATACTTCTTATCAAAAGAACACCTCAACACTTTGCTCTTTCACTTTATCCAATTATATTATCAGTTATAATATAGTATAACGTGAGGTATATATGGGTACATGTCTTGTTTATATTTCTTTTACTTGTTGATCAATCAATCCAAGATTTCAACCAATCACCATCCAGAGTTTTCAATGTAACAAAAAATTCAAGGTCAAACTGAGATAGGTAAAATTCTTCAGAAAAACCAAGAAAAAATTGAACATACTTGAAAATAACTATTTACAGATGTGTATAAATAATAGAGGAGGTTCATACATCTGGACAATAGACTCCTATTAGCTTATCAACCTGTCTGGATTAAAGAAGTTTATTTATGATAAATCCAAGGTTTCTATATTACTTGGAAGTGTATTTACTGATAGGTCCAACTAGCTTATCCACCCACCTTAGCCCAAGGTGTTCACTTATGGTGGACCCAAGGTTTTTATGAATCTTGGAAAATGTATTTACTAGTAGTTCACTTTCTGAAGTTTCTGATCTAAGGAGAAAGTAGTGAAGAGTATTTTTTTATAGGTTTTTTCTTTCCAGCAAGGTGTTCTTGTCATAGATCAAATGGGTAAAGTTTTATTTATTTTGTCATTGAAATATCCAAAGTTTTCGAAGAAGGAAAGGCAAACAAGTGAAGGAGGCACTAGTTTTCAGGAAGTAATGTTTTTTAAAGAAAGTGTATAGATTTTATTATTAAAAATAAAAATTATTTTTGAGAACATCTATTTTTTTGAATTGACAAGGGGATCAGTGGAAAGAGATATTATGGTTATAATGGTAGTATATATAAAAACATCAAATAAAAATATATATATATATATTTTATATATAAATATTTCTATTGCTGCTGACTTACAGTATTTTCATTATTTTCTTTTTTGTAGTTATCGTTGATTAGTGATTTTGAATTGTCTGTTATTATAAATAGTGGTAGCATTCTTTATCATCGTGGCTTATGTCATCTATAATCCATCATAATATTAGTATCTGTGACATCCATGATATGTTATGGTGGCAGTATATCTGTCATTGTTGTTATGGTTCTATTCTTGTCTCCCTTATACTTACTTCTTGTTCTTGTTCTTATAGCCTCCTGGTTTCATCTGTTTCTATCTGTAGCTTCCATGGTTTGACGATTTTGATGTTTCTTTATGTAGTTTTGTCGATTCCGGTGTTCTTAAAGGCTTGTCATTACAATGGTTATCCCTATTGCCAACATTGTTAAAGGTCCATCATGGTAAATATAGTCTTGTTAGGGATATAGTTTTACTAAATTCTGTTGGTTCTTTTTCCAGTACTTTTGTTTCTCCTTCCGTGTAGATCTTTTCATCATTTGATGTTCATGGCATAATAGTTTCTCACCATTGCAGTCATGCATTCCAGCACTTCTTTGGATCCACAACTCTTTCTTGATTCATGATATTGCTTGTAGTTATTGATCTTGTCACTAAAGATGGGTCCCTAAAGTATTTAGCATATAAAATTTATGTTCCTTTACGTTCACGTCCCCTAGAGAACATAATTCCTAGCTTTTTATTTCAATAGGGACATAATTCCAAAAATGATTTGTATAGATGCTTAAAACTATAAAGA